ATTGAAGAGGAAGTGAATCAACTTAAAACGGTATGAAGACGACTTGTATAGTGAATTAATATCTTCTTAGAACCCTAAAAATTCATAATGAATACTTGTTCTATTAAGAACAATACTGAAAGATTAGGAGGTCGTAACGAAAATTGAAAAAAAGACTAAAAGATGTCCCTTGTTCCATTCGTAAAGTAAAATCCGGTAGCATGAAGATGATTTCAAAATAACACAAATGAACAAGTGTTAACATTAATTAGCGTATTTAGTGTTGTAACAAAAAACCTAATTAACTTCTGGTCGCAGCGAAATAAAAGCCATTAATGCGTGTTTAATGCAATTACAGTATAGAAAAAAAACTTACTGAGTATTTACAACACGGATTTAGATCACTAAGTTAAACATTACGTTTATGGTTTAACATGTGTATGATGAACAAGTTAGCAGTATGCTTTGAACGAGTAGAGAATGAAATTAATGAAAATAATAGGTAGGGTCGATGGGGTTTCAATACCAATTAGCAATTCGTATGAATTTTAATTTAGTGTCACTTAGTTAACAAGCTTATTAGCGACTGATCTCTAAAGCATTTTTATTATGTGTCATTATCTGGGCTTTGAGGCAGATTAGTAACAATAACAAGATTTTTTCTAAAAGATTACGATTCCGGGTTAAATTTACTACAAAACTCGTCAGTAAAATTCAACTTGATTACCACTAGTTAAGGGTGAAACCTTTACTTTCCTATAAGTTAAATAATCCGAGTGAAGAGGGAGAGGTAGAGAAAAGAAGAAAGAGGAGAGAGATGCGATATCGCAAACTTAACCTATTTTAAGAAAATGACAAATTATGCATTTGAAATTTTACAAAAAAGAAAAATCAAAGCGTTCAAGCAAAACAAAAGTGTTCTGTAGTTACACATAACGTTTTTCTAGTGGTTTAGTTTACACAATACTCGCACACGAAAAAATGCACAGATAATAATAAAGTCGCGTAAACTCTAGGATAATGTTAACGCGTCTTCAGACACTTGAATACTAACAGGTATGTCTGTTGTAGTGCAATGAAAAACAAGTTAAGCTTGAAAAATCAAATGACCTTGCAAGTACTACTAGTGTAAAGTCATTCGAATTATTGATTCCTTTTGAGTATTACTTACAGTGTTTATATCCGATTGCCTCCGTGTCACTGCTATTTAGCAATATTTTATGTGCAGCGCGATTCACTACCCCATTTCTTTGTGCTGTTGTCTGTTACAGATGGCTAAAGGATTTCGTAAAATATTGGCGTGCGAGTAAACTGGGAATTGACATGAGGCAGGAGAATGACCTTCCTGATTTTCACTCGATACTTTGTAGGTAACATTGGTCAGGTTCTCTTGAGGACTAAATTCGTTCAAAATTAGGATTCGTCATAAACCTTGGCCTTAGAGATGGACACGACCTAGAGCTAAATTCGACTCGGCTCGTTTTTGAGAGCTCAACTTATTTCATTCGAGCCGAGCATCGAGCCGGCCTGTGTTTTTTTTAGTCGAGTCGAGGTGCTCGTTTCGTGCTAATTTGACCTTCTATGGTTTCGGAAATCCCCATGATAGACCTCGATATCTTGGACACTGTGTGTAATATTTTGTTTATACAGGGTGTTACATATAAGTATGTAAAAAAATGGTTGATAGAGGGGATCAAGACAAGAACTTTTTCCAAATAAACCGAGGGTTCAACGTGTTTTGTTTGAGAGCCACCACCAAAAAGTGGTAAAATTTGCATTTCTTCTTTAATTTTTTTCTCAGCGACCATAAGAATTACAAAGACTGGGGGCCCGGTTTTGGGATATGCCCTTTCCGATTTTGCAAAAAATTAAAAATTCCTACCCACTCCTAAATGGCAGTACGAAAAAAATCCCGATGAAATTTAGTATCTGGGGCTTTTGGAACATGCATAGCACGACTGTGAAATTAGTTTTTTGAAAATTCGAAAAAAATTACACGGAAAATCTTCGCCGGACAACGAAAATGGAGAGAATTCCACGAAATTTGTTTTGATCATGCTTGATGAGTTAAGGAACAAAATTTTGGAAAAATTTTTTTTAATCACTTTCCAATAAGAAGTTTGAAAATTGGTTCTTCGGGTCAGAGAGTATCCCCCGCCTACTAGTAAGACAAGGCCGTCTTTGAGTGCAAGAGGTGCAGAGTTCCAAGTTCCAAGTTCCATACAAATTAATACATTTTTACAACGATGCCGCGAGATGTGCAAGCTAATTCAGTTTTATCGATCCTGCATTTTTTTGCAATAGGTAGCCTATCCCATGAAGTTGCCCCCCCCCCCTGAATTACTTTCCGAAATGCTGTTTTTTAAAGTAAAACTTTCCAAACTTTTACATGCGACAACCAACTGGTCTCCGATTTTGCATACGCATGCCTTTGGTGGTTCCAAGTAACATTTTTGAAAATGGGGGGAGGGGGGGTAACACGCGTTCTACCCTTCATCGTATTCTATAGAAAGGTCTCACCCAAATGATTTGGTTTGTACAAACTATAATTTTCCTGCGCGGCTCTTTTTCAAGAACAATAGGTAGGGGGGGGGGGGGTAGAATTGAATTTTATATTTCATGGTATTACAATTAAAGGTCTCAACAACAGGAACTGTTTTCTACCAACCACCGCCCTACTTTCTGACGACTCCTTAGCAAAAAAGGGGGGGGGGGGGAACTGGTTTTATCCTTTATGGTACTCTAATGAAAGGTTTCAACGACAGGAATTAATTTCTACCAACGATAGTCCTCTTCTTCAACCTCTTATCGTGATCGAATGTGAATAATTGCTTCCTTATATCTCAACAACATATTCAATTTGTTTATGTTTATGTTTTTTCATTGACAGGGGGCACCCCTGTGCAGAATATGCCTAAGAGGGCCCTGAGTGAGTCATTTAATTTCGCATAGAATTAGTTGAAAATGTCACACATGAATAAAAAACGTATAAATTGTAAGCAACTCTTGTGCAGATAGAATGCACTTTTTAAGTGAAATAGCTTAGTAAATGGTTGGGTTACGTTCTTGAAAGATGATTAATGGGGAGGAGCCTCTTTACACCTAAAGTTTTAAATGCCACCTGGTATACATTCGAAATCCTCCGACCCTCCACATATTTGCACTGAAAGCTTTTAACATCACCAAAAGATATGTCTCGTCCTGACGTTCCACATGCCTTTTATGAGTACCCTCTTTCGACACATCGTTGTCAAGGTATTTGCTTCGACTTCACCAATTAGGTATGTCTCGCCCAGTTGATTAATTTTGCCTTTGAGAGTACTTTCCTCCCACAAACCGTTTTCGAGATATTCGCTCTTAGTTTTAACATCACCAATAGATATTTCTACCAGACGTCCCAATCGCCCTTTTTTAGTTCTTAAAAAAATGCACAAAAAATTAACGATTAATACTTAATTAATTTGATCATTAAATGACTTCTCACCTAAAAATTTAATTTCGATTAATTAATTTTGCTGCATAAGATGTTTTGTCATTAATATTTTTTTGGATTTTTGTCGTATACGATAAAGTATACGAGAAAAATCCAAAAAATATTACTGACAAATCATCTTAAGCGGTAAAATTTGATCGAAATTAAATTTTTAGGTGAATTTCGGTTCACTAATAGCTGTGTAATTACAAATGGTATCCCGATACAAAATTTTGCTTACATTCTTCATTAAACAAAGTCATAAATTTAAAAAAAACGTCTCCTGTAAAATTTGTTGTTTGTCGCTTACGATGTTTTGTCAAAAACCCATCGATATGTAAAAATGATGCCTGTAAATTCCATTATTGTGAATCCAAACTTAGTTCAAGTTGCGAGTGGAACTGAACTTATTTTTTCGGTCCGAGTTTCGAGCTCAGCTGGACATCCATAATTTCGAGCTCGATTTCAAGCCGAGCCAGGTTTTCAAAAAATTAAGCTGGGCTTGGCTCGATACCATCCCTACTTGGTCTTTGAGAAGAGAGGAAAAAAGAGAAGAAATCGTTGCTTTGGCCATCGTCACTTTTAAATTCAAAATAGTAAGACCTGCCCTTGCAAAACTGAGAGACAACCACTCACTTTGGCAATCAACCCCCCAATGGTTCAAAATTTCTGTGACTTCTTCTACGATTTACAAAGAATTGCAAAATTAGATAAGTGAGCTAACTTCACACGATTTTCTATAACAAATCTAATGTTTTCCCCCATCAAAAACAAAAATCGTTCATAATTTTCATTATTATATTGTCCAAAAATCCTTAGGCACTAGCACACAACAAAAATTATGAAACTTTGCACTTGAACAGCGTGTTCGAGACGAACTCTTCATTTGCCAAGAACATGGAGTAATTGTTCATACCAAAAAGGTCAAAATACAACTTACTTCAAAAATCTTTTAGCTCATCTCTGATTTCGTTTAATTCCCAGAATTTGACTTAGAAAATTCTGAAATTAAAGGCTAAGTTCACATTAATCGGTTATTAAATCCAATTGCAAATTAGATAAATCAACCAAGCGAAGTTTATCAAACCCAAATAACCTTTTGCTATTTTAAAATTAATTAGGATCTAATCAAAATGCAAAAAAAAGAGCAAATTATGCAACGCATCCATATTTATCTCATTGCATTATAGCTTAGTCTATTTGTAATCAAGACCCTTGATTTGCGCAAATAATTACAATGTTACTAATTGATAATCACTTTGGAAACTATAATTTATATACAAGCAATCGAGATCATAAATAAGATAAGAAATTCATCTCCTTATATTCAAAGTGGTATTTCTCGAACCATTATAAATCAGTTTGCGTTAGAGCACGAATCGGATTCAATTAATAATTAATAACAATTGTCTTGTTGAGGGGTCAAAGTCAGTAATGCCATTCCGGAGGGAATTTGTGCTAAAATTTTTGTATTTCTTGGAATCGTGACGCTCTTAATTAATTAAAGCAATCGCTCATTCATCAGAAATTCCGCAAAAATTCCACTTACGTATTGCTGACGGTAGTCTCTTTGGCAGTGACACCACGATAGTGTATTCTCCTTTCGATCTCGCCATCAGGAAGGACGTTCGTCGCGAGGAAGTTTGTAAAATTTTTGGCACTAGCAACTACAATTGCACACAATACGAAAATGAACACGATTTTACCGTAATTTATTGCCATCCTTAAGTGTACCGTTTTAAGTAGAAATAGTGACTAGAGTAAATATTGTCGATAACAAACACTTTATAGTCGTTACATAAAAAAATAATTATTGTCTAATTGGCGCAATTTCACTAACCAGTTTTTCTTTTTCGTGAAAAAAAATTCGTACGCGTTAGACGCGCGATCTGCTGCTACCGTTCGAAAAAGTCGCTGCCGCCGGTCCGGTAGAGTATCGTCGTCATTCAGTCATTTCAGTCACTCCGGAGGCGTCTTCTTCTTGAAACGTTTGCGGTGCTACTGGCCAAGTTCGCCACATTCTCCTCCATGCTTTAAGAATGGAATGACGCAGATGGGGCGATTTTGGCAATCGTAGGTATGATTGACGTTCCGGTCTTTAGAGCAGCGGTCGACGCTACCTGCTGGATTTTTGGGATGCCGAATTTTAAACTCGCGAATCGCGCGCGCCGGTTCCGTAAACGTCACCGAATCGCATTGGCGCGAAATTCCCCCTTCTCGATTTGAAATAGAGAAAATAGGTTACGTACTTGGAAAGGTGCTCGCAAAAAAAAGATAAAGATGTCAGTCCACATAATTTCTACGAATGAGAGCGCTTGCACTTGGTATACGTACAAAAAACAGAATATGACGGAACGGGTTTATCTTATCTTCCGATGTCATAACTTGCTATTTTTAAGCAATCGTGTACGAAATGTAGATGAAAGTTGATAATCGGCCACACATTTCGTTTCCACCAATTTGACCTCATGGCTGACTGGAGGAAAATTCAAGGCACGTGCAGCTATGATTCCTTCCGCCATTTTTTTGAGTTTCATCCACAATTTTTCCCATTCTATATATCGGCATTTAAACATATGGAATAATTCATCATAACATAAACATCTCTCAATGATGATATTAAATAAACATAAATATCTTAAATAGTTTATATACTTTAGAACAGGGATTCCCAAAGTGGTCGATATCGACTCCTTGGAGTCGAAATTGGTTTCCCAGGGGTCCAGATAAAAGAAAACTGATTTTGGGAGTCGACGAGGTCTAAAACGTCGACCCCTACACCAACTTTTTTTAAGAAAATGACTCACATTTTAATTTTTAGCAGGAAGTATCATTTATTTTTACTTTAATTTGGCTATGGGGATCTGGGGTATAGCTATCACTTCATCTGGAAAAGGGATCTCTGGCCCAAAATAGTTTGGGAATCTCCGGTGCTCCACTTCAACAATATTTGAGGGGCTACGCTTAATTTAACTCAGGATTTAACCCCTTGGATTTTTAATTACAACCATAAACCATCTCTCAAATATAAACGAAAGTTCACTAGAAATACACCCCAAAAGATTCGGGTTGTTAGAAACAAAGGTAGCACCCTCATATCGATCTTTTGACGTTACTCGACTCTGACCTTTTAAAACAAGTATAAATTGTGCACAACTCTTGTGCAGATCAAGCGCAATAGCTTTTGTTTTGACATCACGAATGGATATATTTCTTGCAAACGTCTCAATCGCCCTTTGTGAGTAACCTCTTCTGACAATCCGTTCTTGAGGCATAATAAGGGAATATACCCGGTCACGATAAGAGGTCGAGGAGGAGGGCTATGGTTGGTAGAAATTAATTTATTTCGATGAGACCTTTCATTAGAATACCATGAAGGGTAGAACATGTGCCCCCCCCCCCGACGCATTTCTAAAGTTTAACTTGGCACCACTAAAGGCATGCGGATGCAAAATCTGAGACCAATTGGTTTTCGTATGTAAAAGTTATACACGTTTTACTTTCAAAAACGCCATCTCAGGAAATAATTCGTGGAGGGTCCCCCCTTTTAAGCAGCGAAATTTGATGGCCGTCTGGCACACCTTCAAGGTATAGCTACCTACTGCAAAAAATTTCAGGACTCTAGGACCATTCTCGTAGAAGTACTTCGAAATGGCAGAAGTGGATCCGGACGGACGGACGGACAAAACGCAAACACTAGCATCTTTTTTTTAATTCTTAAAAAATGCGCTAAAAACTTGATGGTTAGGGCTAGTTACAAGAATTGCTTGTGCAGGCTACAAGAATTGATTAATTTTAACCAATTTATTTCTTCGCTGTTCAGCGAGTTTTATTACCTTCACATACTTGTAACTAGCGGTAGGTAACCCTTGAATTTGTTTGTTATTTGCTTGTTTTGCTTTAAATGTTATTTATATTTTGATTTCATTAAGATTGGGTAGTAGTTAATGTTCCTTTGATGTATAGGTAATCTCGTTTAGTTTGATTAGCGACTTCTATGCATCTCCGTGCAAAGGTACTGGAGTGTTAAAATTATTTAGCGGCATTCATCTCGAAATTCAACTTCAGTCTATGGTTACCGTATCCGGGACCTTCAGATACCTTCTGGACTGGAGAAGGTCCCGCTAATTAACAAAGTATTTTATGTAAAAGACTTCGAAATATTATTTTTCACAAATGGGAAAGAAGCGGAGTTGCTTTTAAATCTATTTGCGCTGGTTACTTTTGAGCATATTAAATTTTGTACTAGATTAAAGTTAGATTTAAATTATTCAAATTCAAGGGTTACTTGCTCGAATTGTTAATTTTTCTACATTGTAGATATTGCTCCAGATTTTTAACCTATATTTACCATCTGTGAACAATGATTCGGAAATTTCTTCGGTTCGGTGCTTTTGTCCAATGAGTTCTATGGGAACACGCATGTCTTTGGATTGCATTCTGTCTAAATTTGTAGGAACTATTTCGATTCATTTTGCACTTTTAAATAAATTATTCAATAAATTTTCTTTTGCTATTCAAATTCACTAAGTGTGTTATTTGCATTCCATCCTTTTCTAATTACATTTTTTGTACATTTTTGCCGGGGTCCCTTTTAAGTCGGGGCCCGTCCTCATTGCTTACCTTTGGGGCGTTATAGTTACGCCACCGTGGTCCACACTCTGCCGATAGCCATAATAAAATATAGATGTATTAAAGTGGAGCTCGTAAGAATAAAGTTACCTACCTTAAATAAAAATACCTTTTCCCCGCCTTTTTAGGTACAGTACTTATATTACAATGGAACCTTTAAGAATAAAGCTACCTAAGATAAAAATACTTCTTTACCACCTGCACGTTAGTATAATAGAGGTGTTCAATTGGGGTAAAAAATTACCCCCCCCCCACGTTTTTGACGGAAATACTCGTTTTGAAGCACCGAGGATCCGAATTAAACAAAATCTCGATGATGTCTGTCTGTGTGTACTCTCATGTCCGGCTAAACGGCGGCGCCGATTCGAACCAAATTTGTTACACATATTCTTAGACATAAAAGAAAGAGCTGAAAAGCGTTTGTCCAGAAATGCGCATGCCCAAGTGTGTCAAAGTAACAAAGAACTGTCAATTTTTAACGGTTTTTTAATATTATGGCTAAACTATTGCATCTGTGCTAGCTACGGCATTTTTTTATTATTAATAAACAATACCTTGAACAATACCCATACAACCAGCGGCGTCTCTAGAGGGGGAACAAGGGGAAAGTCTGCCCCTTCCGCCTTTGGACTGCCTGGGCCTTTAGCGCCTTGTAGGTGGTAAAAAATGAGTTAAAGACATCTAAATTTTATTGTGTATACATATATACATACCTGCCGACTTTCGCGTTAAAGCAATTCTAAGATATATTTATTTAGATAACACCCACAAATATATTTGACGAACGGCACCGCGCCGCCGCCCGTCCAAACGTACTTGCCCCCTCCGCTGTCACAAGCTCGCTACGCTACTGCATATAACTGGTTTTGCTTTTAGTTTAGGGGTTTAGGTTCCGTTAAAAATATAGTTTTTAAGAGATTCCGCCAACAAAAAAGTTTGAGAACCGCCGCTCTAGAGATATTTTACAATCAAAAACATCTTAGACATTTGGAAATTTATTGATACAAAGTAGAAACTAAATTTACAACCCAAATTTAATTGCATCTATTTTCACAAACATTTTTTAAGCTAGCCCAAACTATAAAAGACTCCAAATTTACTGGGTTCGTAAACACACGTGACAACATTTAAAAACAATTACAATTAAACTCTATCTTTCCCCAATTAGTATAAATTAAAGCTTACCGGAACAAATTTAATATTCGGTAAATCTGGTAGGTACCTACTGAAAACTAATGTTTTACTAAAGGGTTGAGTAAATTCAATCAAAAATAATTGAAAATTGCTGCCTTTGTATATGCCCCCGCCCCGTCATGATTTGGGAAACATGAATTAAGGCTTTCCTATGTCATTTAAGGGTTTTGAACCCTATTACTTAAACGTATGGATCCTGAATCTCAAAAATTGGAAGTTTCTTATAAATTACCATTTATTATCCAGGCTTAATTACAAAAATAAACAATTACTTATGGTTTTAGCTGACGACGATAAATAAAATGCTGTCTAGTCGAGTAGATAGGTTTATTTACAATATATACAGGTGCGTGCGTGCTGAAGATGAAACGGCGTAGTTCCGTAACCGGCGGCGCTGCTAGTCAGGATCGTAGCTGGTGCTGACTGCAGGTCGGCTGGATCAGAAGATGAAGACTTTTCCTTGCTCCTGAAAATTTCCTTCAAATTTTGATAGTTATTTTTTTTTTTATTGCCTTTATTTTATAGTGGGCGGAGTGTTAGCTAATTAGCTATTCTCCCCACTCAACCCACTATACAATCACAAACAGCCATGCCTTACCTGGGATTCGAACCCAGGACCCTTGTAGCCAGAGCTAGAGCTACTAACGTAAACTCATCTGAGCTACGCAGTTATTTGAACGTTTTGAAAGGTATTGATGAAAAATTTACGATGTTTTTCACTTTCCAATCAAATTTTCTTTTTTATATTTATTAGTATTTTCTTAGGAAACTAATTACTTACATTGGAAAAGAAAAACTTGAATTTTGAATGAAATAATCTTAATTTACCTAATAATTGAATCAAAACAAAATACACCATTCTATTCATTTACAGAAAAATGTTTATTTTATACCTAAACAGAGTGGACACATGAATTTGGATGATATTTTCCATTGGACGTTTGATAATAAATTTCAATTAATAGATCTTTAAACTTATCCCAATTTCATGTGTATATTTATTTATTTTACTTATATATTGTCACTCTCTTGTTCTGGGCCCTCAACAGGCTTTTTCCCAATTACAGAGTGATTCGCAAATACTTTTTAGAGGTGCCCCTGCAGAAGGTCTTAAGTTGTTCTATACTACTCCGGTATTTACCTTACGAATTATGAAAACTGCAGGAAAACCTAATGCTTAAGTAACCGGCAGAATGCTCGAAATGGATCTATTGCCGTATAAAAAGTACCTACTCATGGTCGCTATTTTCAATAAAGAAAATATATCTTATTCTTTCCCAGTTAACGTTCCCCCAAGGGGGCGCGCAATTTTGTGGTATACTATTCCATGCTCGATTCCATGTTTGTAACTTACCTAATTTCCTTATCTTTTTTGTCACAATAAAGATACAAAACAAGTCGACTTTCAAATCATGCCGTCATTTTGCATTGCGAATCTTCAACAACATCTGACGTAAAT